TGTCTTTGTCTTTCCCTCTCTCTTTCTCTGTCTCTCTATGGAGCTTTGGTGGTGCAGTGCTAAGGCATTTGACTGCTAACCAGAAGATTGACGGTTGAAACCCACCAGCTGCTCCCGGGAAGGAAGATGGGGGCAATCTGCTGGAAAGATTTACTGCCTTGGAAACCCAATGGGGGATGCTATGAGTCAGAATTGATTCAATGGCAGTGGGTTTGTTTTTCATTTTATATATATATATAAAAGGACAAGATGTGGAACTAAAAAGATATGAAAAGATGCAACAATTTCCCTTGTTCTCTGTGCCATTCAACAAAATAAAGTTTATAAGACAAACTGATTTAAATCTAAAGGAATATAGTCAGGATTCCACAATATCTATTAAAATAATTAATGAAAAATAAACTCATAAGTAAAAATTTTCAAGGTAATATTCTTATTTATTATGAAAAACTCAGTTTATCTGACTCATTTGAATTGTGCTGATTTGTGTCATAATCATACGGACTGTTCTTGGTTTTGAAGACACTGGAAATCAATGAAATGTAGTAAAGAATAGAAATCTTCATTGTTTCTGTTAGACAATCACCACTTAGTAACTGTGTTTGGTAAACATCAACACACTGAAAATAAGAAACACTTCAAGTGTTTTCTTACTTTGACTTCTAATTTAAAAAAGTTAAGTTGGCTAGAATTCTTATTTACAGTAGTAAAAAATATCTTTACAACTACATTTTTGCATCTTATTAGAGTAATCTTATAGGATGTGTTAGATCAGGTATTGCAGCTCAGAGCAGCCTTCCTAGGAGCGTTTTTAAGTGCTGATCTGGGTGCAGATTACAGCAGATAATTGACAACTTTTTCATCAGGTTTGTGTATCATGTGATACTGTCACTTACTAATATATGTTTATTATAAAATGCAATATATTATATACTATAATTATGTGTTTTGGTCCTCTAGTGACAGTCTAACAGAAAAACCACAAATGGGTGGCTTTAACAAACAAGGATTTATTACCTTACAGTTTGTTGTTGTTGTTATTTGCCGTCGAGTTGGCCCGACTCATAGCGACCCCTCCTTGGGTTTCCGAGGCAGTATCACTACGGAAGTAGGATTGCCCAACCTTCCTTCTGAGGAGTGGCTG